GAATGTTAAAAGTCCTCTCTTAAAACTCTTTTTTCCTTCCTCCCTCCTCTGTCCATCAGATATCTTCACAGCGCAGTCTTGTTTGGTGACCTAAGCAAGGAGCAAAAATCCTTCTCTTGTGCTTTTTGTTTCTAGTAAGTCCTTCAGAGAAGAGAGGAGCTGGCATGCTTGGCATACTCTACTGAGACCAATCTATGGAACACTGTCTAGGAAAAGTCTCGTGGATTATTATTTGCTGAAGGTTTTAGGAGCACAAGTCTCTTGCCCACATCATCCAGGAGCAGTGCTGCTGCTCACGGGTCACTGAGTGAGGAGGCAGAGCTTGTGCTCTGGTTAGCACCACAGCCATGATTGAGGCATGTGGCCATATTAGACAAAGAGCCATTAGTGCTTAGTTCAGCTCACAGCAAGAGCTATTAATAGTAGATCTCTTTAAATGGTTTTGAAAATTAAACCTTGATTCAGACCTGAAATCTCTGCTTTGCTTTTTTTCGTTATTCAGAGCATCCATGGGGAAAGCAGCACTGAAGTTTGGTTCTTTTTTCCCTAAAGAGGCAAGATAACTAGGAGACATAAGGGCTGTGTTTGTCATATTCTACAGCAAATTTTACTGATGTATGAGGCCAGAACACTGTTTAATGTTGCTGTCCAATGGTTACACAATTTTGGTAGTAAAGAGCTATTAATCTGAGTCTCTGGTCCTAACAATGTACTTTGATACATGGTTGCAAAACACTAAAATGCTAACTAGCCACCAACCTAATAACAGCTCACGTTTTAATTGCTTTTAAAAAAACTAGTTAGCCATAATCTTTGTACTATAACAGATTTATAGGCATTTGCAGTGTGCAATGGCTGTGACCTGGCAATAATGATGTTCAGATGTCAGTAAAAATTACAGGGCAGCACACTGAGAGCTCACTAATACCTGGCTGTCTGCAGATCCTGTGGCAGTGAGTACCAGAGAAATGCCTATAAATACATATATAAAAAAATGTAGATACATGTACACAGAGTGGAGAGAAAGCCTTTCTGTGGCACCACGTGTGCTCTCTGCCCTTTCAGGTTAAATGCACCCAGCACTGTGTGCTCGGGCTGGGAGAGGTTGCTCACTCCTGCCCAGGGAGTTTGACTCCAGGAATCTTCTGTTTCTGAAATCAAATATTCACAGATAGATCCATACAAAGCTTGGCTGCAGTGCTCTGTTTTAATGATGGATGCTGAGCACTTTTTACCAGTAATTCTTCAGTGGGATACCTAGTAATTAAATAATTTGCTATCTGTCATTAGTGCCTAATTTCCTGCCTAGAAGATTTGTAGCTTTGTTTTAAGTAGGAGAAGAGGTGCCTGAGCCCGTGGTTGGGACAGGAGCAGCACTGTCCATCCAGCTGCTGGGGACCATCGTGAGTAAAGTGTTGGAGTTGTCTCTTGGGCTGGGTGCAATTTGTGTGTAAACTGCTCTTTATGGAGTGCTTTCACTTTTTAAAGACTTTTTGACACATTCATCTTTGAAGTGTGAATACCTTTGTGGAATGAAAGGCTTTTTTTCAGGTTTTGTTGCTGTTACTACGTTTAATTTCAGAGGCTTCAAGTTGACTGACATGAACTACCTGAAACCCTGTGCTGCCTCTTTTAACTGTGTGAGATGTGAGAGGTGTCTTGTCCTCGAGGGAAGTGGGGGGAAATCGTCTGGTTTGTGTGTGCCTGAAGGTCAGGAGGCAAATTTTAATTTCATGGAAGTGCTGATTATGATAGTAGGATTTTTAAAATTTATTTTTTAAGTCAGCTTGAGCATTGATGTAAGAACTGTTTTGGTGTATTGGGGAGCTCTGTGGAATGCACTTCATTGGTGCTTTTGAAGCCCATTTTGAAGCTCTGAAAGGTGGTCCAGCACTGGGGAGAAAAACCCCTGCTTGTGTTCATAAATGTTTCATGAAGAAATGGCAGTGTTTGGGGCTGTTTCCTGTCCTCCTTCAAGAAGGACTGTAGTGTCTCGTTAAAAATTTAAATCTAACATTTAAAGAGATGTGAACCTCCCTCATCTGGGAGTTCCAGCAGTAAATTGACCTAAATCTGACCCTGGGGTTCAGATTCTGAAGTCAGCTAAAAGGTAGCACTGAACATAGAAACGAAGACAAAAAAAACTGTATTAAATATTTCAGTTCATACTGTTCACCTATAAATAGGTAGCTGTTATGAATTCTTCATTGTATCCCTCTGGAGAGGGGAATTAATCCAGTCTCCAGCTGCCTGTGACTGAAGGTCATGAGTCAGGATGAATTAGAGGAAAATTTGTAGCAGGGTTTTTGCAGACTCTGGTTCCTGACTTCAGGTTTCAGGCTCCAGCTTGGAAGGTTTTTTGGGCTCTTAACTGTTCTCTGGAAAATGTCATTTGAAAATGAACAAGGCTTAAATGAGGGCAGCATCCCCTGGCACTTCCAAGCTCCCCAGTGTGACCGTGCCTAGGCACTGCAGTCTCGCTGGTGGAGCTGTGGAGGGGGATGGCTGAACCTTGCCATGGTGTCAGAGAGTCAGAGGGACCCTTCTGCTGCTCTGAACTCCACTGGTGCTCAGCAAAGGAGCCTGCAGAGCTGGCTTTATCCACCACGACTGCCTAGCTCAGCTTTGTAATCCTTTCCCATTAATTGGGGGCTTTCACTGCCTTCAACAGAACCAGGCAGATTCAACAAAAAAATAAATTGTGGCTGAACTAGCTCCTGTTGGGTTTCTTTTGGCTATAACTGGAAATGCTACAAGATATTCAAGAGGTAGTCAGCTGTGACTTAGGCTTTAAAGAACTCGCCAGATGGCTGCTCTAAGTACCCTAAATTATTAAGACTGAATATGTAAAATACTACATTTTCCAGCAGCTTACTGCCTCTTTATTTTCTTCCCCCTTAATTTAGGCTGTGCAGGTTCCTCAGTTGCACTTTGTGTTCTCCCATAGCAGTAAAATGTGGTCGTTAGGAATTTCAGCATTACAGAGGACTGCAGTGTGGGGGAGAATATGAAATTTGGAGGAGCAAAAGCTCACGTTGCATTCTCATTGCATTAAATAAGCATGGCTTTAAAACTGAATGGGATGCTTAAGTATCTTCCTTTATGCACAATTTATAAAGATGCAATTTTTTTTAGCGTGAGCGTGTCTCTTTTGAGATGTGAAATTTTTGTTTATTTAAAAAGAGGACAGGAGGGGAGTCAGAAGAATTTGGGAGTTCTTAATTACGAACTGATCTGTGGCATTGTCCAGCAGAAAGTCCCTTCCAGGTTTTGAATTCATACCAGTGGAGGTGGAAGTGAAGGAAATGCAGTTAGAAATCTGCAATTTTCAGTTGCTGTGTGTTGGAATCTTCTTCTGAAGGCGTTCAGTCAAAACAGTTCTTGCTGGTGAGGCTTGAGTTTCCTGAGGAGCTGTTTCCATCTGTTGGTAAAACAGACAAGTTAAACTGAGATTGAGTACAGATTTCTCCTGTCTGCATTTTTTGAAGTGAAACCCCAATAGCTGATGTTCTAAACCCAGTTAGGAAAGAAGGATAAAAGGGAAGGCTGACTGCAGGTACAGTATTTTTCATTATGTACTGTTGTGTTTGGGGTCAGTGATTGAAGAGAAAGCCACTGTGGTCTTTTAATTCATTTTTGGGAAGAAATATATTTTATTTTCATTAGAGTGTTTTCAGAACAAGGAACAATGAGGGGAGGTGAGGAAGTATCCTTTAATGCTAGTGGGAAAATTGGAGGTCCTTAGCTATTGAATTACTTGGGTGATGCCCTTGCAGAGTAGCCCGGGTGTTTTTGGTGCAGCAGCACCTCCAGCTGCTCATCCCAAACCCATGTCTGGTTCTGATCTCTGACTTGCTGCCCTGCCAGGGCCTGCAGCTCCAGTCCATAGGGCTGAGTGAGGGTGCTTGGTGTGCCCAGGGCAGGCTTGCCCAGCCTTCCCCCAGCCAGGAGAGGCCTTGGAGGGACACAGATGGGGATGTCAGGCGTTCCTGGCTCTGCCCAGTCCACATGTTGGGCCCTGCTGAGCTGAAGGAATTCCTGGGATCCTCACCCAGCCCTCTGCAGGCAGCGTGGGGAGGGAAGAGCTGGAGTGCAGGACAGCTTTCTGTGCTGCTGGGGAGGGGAGGGAGTGTTTCCAAACCTGGATGATTGCTTTGGCAAAGCTGGGCTGGCAGTGCTGGCTGTAATATACAGATCTTTGTTGTTTATTATTCTGTCGTGTGAATCATCTTACAAATAAATGAGAGCTAAATTTCATTGCCTGTGCCTGGCAAACAAGGGAGAATTAGGTGACCCAGTTATGTCCATTTGCAGTGTGTTGGATGCAGCAGGACAAGCTTGAAGCATTTAGTGTTTTAACAGAGTTTAGTGAAGAATTCAGTCATTCCTGACTGACACTGCAGCCTTTGAATTGCATGGGTCAGAGAAAGGAGAGAAGGTGAGAAAGGAATGGAAAACTGGCACTGGGGAGAAGATCCATGTTCTGCTGCCAGAGGTGAGCACAGGCAGCCCAAACCTTCCTGTTGGCTCTGCACATCTGCCTCACCCTCACCTGGAGAGCCCAGCTCCAGATCTGCTAGAGCAGTGCATTCTCCATGGCTTAGCCAGCCTTTGGCCCCTCTTCCTGCAGTGCCAGCCTCACGATTCCCAGAAATTCAGCTGAGATCCCCTTGCTTCTCTGCTGACGCCAGGATGCTTCGGTTGGGTTTTGTGCTGAAAGCTCCCTAAAGAATGCAAAGCTTGAATGCAATTCATTCTCAAGTGATTGGGAATGTCATTGCTATGGTCAGGGTGGAAATCTTGCAGCTGAAGAATGGCTTGATTTTAAAAAACTTTAAGCATAAATTTCTTGAGTTTAACAGCTCCAAACAATCGTGCAGTTTTTTTTAATTTTACCTAGAGCGTGTTCTAAAGCAGGGAGTGAAGGTGTGTTGAATTAAGACTCTTTCTGGGGTTCAGCTGTGGATGTTCTGTAATTCTTTGCTCGTTTGTTTTCACAGGGCAGTTCCCTCACACATTTTTCCCAGCTCCAGTCACTGATCAGGACTGCAGACGTGGATTATCTGATCTCCTGTGGTTTCTAGAAGCAGGTACGTTGGCACAGAAATCTGGTGTTTTGTTGGTTGGGGATGGGGCAGTGACCACTCATCCACGAGCCAGAAAGATTTGTGGGGGCAGGGAAATGCTGCTTAAGGAGCATTTCATAATGTGTAGCATATTGCTGTAGCTTTCTGGAGAGAACAAAGTTGGTAAGTATTTTGAAAAGATTTTCCAGTCCTTCATTTGCAAATGAGGATCGTGCTGTCTTCTGGGCATGGACCAGCTTTGTATGTGGGTTTGGAAATTTTCTCATGTAGCATATGCTGGGTGATGTTGTCATCCTAAACTGTGTCTTCTGAAAGCTTTATGTAACAGGAAAACAGAGATACGTTCACATTTCTCATGCTGGGCTCTGAGTGCTGTTTTAAGACCTTTGTCTTTCCCCTTTGATGACATCGAGTAGGAAGAGCTGTGGTGTGGGGAGAGCAAAGTGCTGTTGCTCTGAAAGCTTGGTTTACCTCTCTGTGCATACTTTTTGAGCCCTATTGAGTGCTTTCTCCCCCCGTGCTGCTTCCTGATTGTGTGAAGCATTCACTGAATGGGCAGGCTTTAGGATTTTTATCCTTCCTGTTAAATAGGTGACAAACCCATCTTGGCTGAAGGTTGTTTCACAAGAGCCAGGCTTAGATAGGAATTCCCATCACCCCTTTTTAAAGCTTGAAAATTAATAAACAACTAGAAGATAGTTATGCTGGAAACAGTGAACAGTAACCAGAGCAGGTCCTGCAATACCTGGTGTGCAGGGCAGTGCTGAAGTGGGGTCTTCCTCGTGGGCATGGGGGCAGCTGTGGCATTTTCTTGGTGCTTGTGGATGGTGCCACCTACTGATATCCCATCCATTTTGTTTCATTTTTAAACAGAAGATGTCTTACTGCATTTCAGCTTTTCTTGACACGATTTTTCTTGTCTAGGTTGATTGGTTGGTAGTACAGCAGCTTCCCTTTTCAAGTGCAATATTTTTTGAAAAGTATTTACAATATTAAGAGCTAGTCCCTACCTTTCAGGCTGACTGGATATCTTGATCAATGTTTATTGTTTTATCAGTCTCTGGATGTGTATAACTTGATATCTCTTGCTCAGTATCTTATTTTGTTCATTGCCTTACTATTGGCATCCCTTGTTAGCACTCAGCAAATTGCACTGTGGAGTATAAACCCAGTAGCATAATCCAATTTACTTACTTGAGTTGACACTAGGCAAAATTCAGGGATTGTTTAATTCCCCCTTCAGAGAGCAGTTTGCAGGTTGTATAAAAAGCCCAACAATCATCACCTTGCACGGGCTGCAGGTTTCCAAGCAGAGCCATCTCCAGCAAATCAGCTTCATGCACTCTTCCCACTGAAACATGCTCAAGAAGGCTGGTGATGGATCTTTCTCACTTTTCACTGCTGTTATCTCCCTGCTCAGTAGTGTGGGTGGCAAAGCCTGTCCCAGCAGCTGCTGCTGAAGTTTGCATTACTTCTGACTCACTCAGGAGGGCCTCTGTGTAATTTTAAACAGTTTCCACACCCAGATTACTTTCCCTTAAAAGTAATAATGGAAATGGAGTGAGAGGAGAGGTTGGTAATGACTGCAGGAAGACATTACTGGGAACACTGTGTCTGAACCTGCTGGGATACAGCCTTCCCTGGGCAAGCCTTGTGGAGGGTGTTCCCTTCCTTACTGGGGCTCAGGAAATCACCTTTGTGGCCTGGTGTAGGACCAGACCCCGTTCTGGCAGTGAAAAGGGGCTGAGCACCTGTTGTGGAGCCCCTTCCCTGAGGTGTGTGTGGGGCAGGAGTGGCTGGGTCCCACCTCCACCCACTCCTGGGAGCACGGAATGGTTTGGGTGGGGAGGGACCTCACAGCCCCCTGGTGCCACCCCTGCCATGGAGGGGACACCCCCACTGCCCCAGGTGCTCCAGCCCCAGTGTCCAGCCTTGGGCACTGCCAGGATCCAGGGGCAGCCCCAGCTGCTCTGGGCACCTGTGCCAGGGCTCACAGGGAAGCTTTTCTTCCCAATCTCCCACCTAAACCCACTCTCCCTGTTGAGGAACTTGAATAATTACCAGATACTCATATAATAATCATGCTTTGTGCTATAGAATTTGGATAGCACAGTCTGTTTATTCCATAACGTAATTATCTTTATTAAAATAAGAAGCTCAGCTTTAAAATTATATTCTTTCCCTGCTTCTCTTTGTTCTTCTTTCTCTCCAAAACCATTTCATAAATTTCAGTAATTTTTACAGTAATGAAATGGCCTTTTTATATGATATATAAAGGAAAAAAGAAAAAGAGGAGGAAGACTTAAGAGTTTAGATTTCACACAGCTTTTGTTTAGCCATTGTGGGCTTGATGGCTGTGCATTCTGCATCCTGTTTTCATTCTGCTTGTGCTTATTTATGGAAAAAACCCCAAACCATGGGCTCTTCTGTCAGGATGATTCTTTCATCTAGTTCTTAGAATTCCTTTTCTGCTCATGCAGTAACATAGCCACAGATAATGAGCTGTGGGGATGTGAGCAGCAGCCTCTGGATGTTTCAGTCGCATTTGTGAGGCCCAGTTCAGCTGCTGACATTTGTAATGGTTTCACTGGGGAAGGATGTGATTCCTTACTCTCCCAGGACATCCAGTGCTCTGCCCACTGGTGAAAAACAGGTCTTTTGGAAATGGGACTCTTCCTCCATTTCCTGTTAGAGCCCATTGCCTGCTGTAGTTTGTGCTTTCCTGATTTTGTGCCTGCAGGACATCCAGGAGCTGGCAGGAGGGGAATGAACCGAGAGGGCGTCCCCGGAAAGAGTCCGGAGGAGATGTACATCCAGCAGAAAGTGAGGGTGCTGCTCATGCTCAGGAAGATGGGATCCAACGTAAGAGGCACCTCTGGCCCATCCTTTGTGGGTTTCAGGCCACTTTGGACTAACTGGGGTCGTGCTTGTTGAGGTGGGCAGGTGATGGTCTGGTTTTAATGCTGAATTGTTCGAATTATCACATAAACACCATAAACACAATTGGGTTTTGCTTAAAGATTATAAGGCTTGTGATGCCTGGAACTACCATGTATAGATAAATGATTTCAAGTTCTTCATTAGAAAAAGAGCCAAGTGAAGCAGCTGTTTGAAGGTGGCACTGACCTGCCCATGAGTTCATGGTGTCCCATCTGGCTGCTGTGTCCGTGCTGCTGCTCAGGGTGCACGAGTAAGGGGTGCTGCAGGTGCTGAGGAGCAGAGCAGAGGGGCTGTGCTGCCTGCTGGGGTGGGTCCTGCTTTGCTGAGTGCTCGGGTGTCACCTCTGTCACCTCTGTCACCTCTGTGCCCGCAGCTGACGGCCAGCGAGGAGGAGTTCCTGCGCACGTACGCGGGGGTGGTGAACAGCCAGCTGAGCCAGCTGCCCCAGCACTCCATCGACCAGGGTGAGTGCCCCCCCTGTGCCCCCCCAGTGCCCCCCCAGTGCCCCCAGTACTGCCCTGTGCCCCCAGTGCTGCCCAGTGCTGCCCTGTGCCCCCCCAGCTGAGCCAGCTGTCCCAGCACTCCATCGGCCAGGGTGAGTGCCCCCAGTGCTGCCCTGTGCCCCCCCAGTGCTGCCCAGTGCCCCCCCAGGGCCCCCAGTGCTGCCCTGTGCCCCCCCAGTGCTGCCCAGTGCCCCCCCAGGGCCCCCAGTGCTGCCCTGTGCCCCCCCAGTGCTGCCCAGTGCCCCCTGTGCCCTCCCTCTGCCCTGGGCCAGCAGCCTCAGCAAACAGCACCTGCAGCCTCCTGGACCTGCAGGATCCCTTGGCACCACCCTGCAGGCTGGCTTTGTTAGTTCCTTGCAGAAGTCTTGGTGAACAGCTGTGTGGAGCGAGTCTGGTAATCTCTTGTGCACCTGAATGTTTCCTGCTGGATCCCTCTCCCTCCCCTGCACAGCCCTCGTGCCAGATCACTTCATGAAGTGCAGTTTGGAGCTGAGGGAACATTGTAAGAGCAGTGCCACAAAGATCTGAGCAGAAATGCAGTACAGATCTGAGACATCTAGAAATCCATTACAAACAAACCTGCACAAACTTGCTGCTGTGCTCATTCCTTGCATAGCTGGGGGCTGATGGAGGTGGATATGCTTGAAGGATTCTGAGCCAAAATACACAACTTTTCTGCCAGTCTAAAGTGAGAATTTTCTTGTTTCTTGTCAAAAACTGAGGAAGACAACATTCAGTTAAGGGAGACTTAGCTGCAGTTGGCATTTTTCAGCATTATCCTTAAAGTTACATTTCTCCCAATGAAATCTATGCTGAATTACCTGCACTTTGGCAAAGAAAAGGTGACAAAATCAGAAGTCCAGCCAGGGGACGCAGATACTTCCTGCAGTGGTGCTGAAGCTGTAGTGTGCTCTACAGACAGAAGCAACTATAATTTATTGCTCAGGATTTGATTTGCTCAGGTTTCTCTCAGTCAGTAATGGTAATGCTCCTTGCTTGCTGCTGCCTGTGCTCTCTGCTGTGTCCTGGGGTCAGAGAAGCAGGAAGGGCTGGGTATGGAACTCCTGGAAGTGACTGCAGTGACACAGGGGTGGGATGTGCCACCCTAAGGGAGATCCCATCTCCACTAGATGGCATTGCCTGGTGCTGGAAACCCCTGCACGGCCACACTCTCACTGTTCTGTGGCTCCAAGACTGCTTAAAGGAATTCTCTTCCCTACTCTTCTGTTTTCATTGAAATCCTCTCTGGAGGATTTCTTTTTTCCTTTATGCAGCTTGTCTTACACAACAAAAAGAGGTGTTATTTGGGGAGTAACTTACACCACGTTAGCACTTCAGTGGATTTCAGAGTCTTTTGTTCCACAGTAGGACAGGTTGCTCTCAGCCTGACTGTCCCCGATGGATCTTTAGAGCCATTTTCCTCCAGCAGGCACAAAAGACACAAAGCTAACTTCACATCCCCACTTTGTCCCAAGAAGCAGAATGACATCATCACTGGCCTGAGCACTCTGAGAGCTTTGTCATGGACCTGCAGGTTTCTGTGTGTCCCTGGAAGTGCTGCAGCCTGGCCCCAGTTCCAGGGAGGTTGTTTTGGTCTGTGGGGGTCTCTGAGGAGGGATGCTCTACAGTTCTGAGTGTGTCTCTGCCTGTGGCCCTGCAGCAGTGACCTGGGCTTGTCCCTGCTGTGGCTCCTGAGCAGGATCTGAGACTCTGAGTGAGCCCCTTTGCTCACAGGGACTCTCTGCAGCCTCTGTCCATTGGGCCAGGATGTGTTTTTATGGTCCCTGCTGAATTCAGGCTTGTGCCATAAACCCTCCATGAGCCACTGCTGACACCAGTGTCTCTGACATTTAAAGTTCCTCCTTGAGACTCTGTTTGTTGTCCAAGGATCCAGCAATGGAAGTTCATTTGCATCAAGAAGCATGTTAGAATGTCTCTGTAATTTTTAATCAAGCCTGAAGGCTAAGACTCCCCTTCAGTTTATGCTTGTTTTTACTGGAAGAGGGCATATGGTAATTGAGTCTAATATTAGAGTAGTTTTATTTTTCAATCATTGTTAACACCTATATGAAAGTGCAAAATCCAGGCTGTTTTCCTTTACTCTGGGAGCTCTTTAGCTGACATCTGTGGAGTGTTTGTTGTTTGTTTTCATGGCTCCAGGAATAGCTGAGGATCCCTGAGGCATCTCAGTTCATGAGAGGGGATGCAATCCTGAGCTGGTTTGGGATGTTCCCACCTTGGTCCTGCCTGCATTGCAGCAAGAGCTGACACAGCTCACACCTGATGACATTCAGGCTTTCTCACATATTTCTGAGAACAGGCAAAATGCCTCTCAGGAAGTTCTGAGCACAGAAGCATCTCCTGCACAAGCCCATATTCCCTGTTCCCCAGCTCGTTGCATTTCCAAAGGCTGGGCTGGCTCTGGCAGCTCCCAAATGGAAGCAGGAGATGGGAATTGTGCTGAGACCTTGGTGCTTGCAGCTCGGGGGTTCCTATGGCAACAGGAGCGTGGTGCTGCTCCCATGGGCAGGGCAAGGCTGGGATGCAGACACGTGCCTGGCTGGGGGGGGAGAGGGTTCTCTGGTGGTGGGGCACCCAAACCAGCCCAGGCTGCTGGTGGGGCTCCAGGGAGCTGCTCGTGGCTTGGCAGAAGCTGCTGGGAATGGAGATGGAGCTCTGCTCAGTGCACCTTTATTGTGTTGAGCACAGGGCTTGTTCTAGTGTGCTGCTGCTCTCAGCAGTGCATGGTGTATTTTTAGAATGCCAGACTAGGATGCTAATGCTGGGAATCCCAGGGAAGAGTTAATGGTTAGGAGATTGTTGCTGGAAGGTGGTTGAAGAAATGCATGTATGCAAAGATCATGTGTGAAGTGAAGAATTTCTTTTTTTAAATTTGGCAGCCTTTAGAAATTCCCAACAGGCTAAACCTTCTGATCTCTAAATGCTTTTGGGGTTTAATTAATTCTGCAGGTGACTACAAGCAAATCAGGTGTACATATCTGTTTCTCATTCAAGGAGCACTTGGGAGCAGCAGCTGTGGGAGGTGTCAGCATCTCCTCTGGGGTTAGGTGGTGTGGTTTCCATCCAGCCTGTGCCCTGCTGGGTTGTGTCTCTGTGCCCACTCCTTGCTGTGGCACCAGCCCCTGGGGAAGCTCTGTGCCCTGGAGGAGGGCAGGGGAGCAGCTGGGGACACGAGCTCAGGGCACGTCTGCAGCCTCCCCTGCCTGCAGTGAAGTCCTTTGACCTTCAGCTCATCTTGGCTTGCTAAGACTGAAGAACAAGTGGTGTAAAAGAGCTCTAAATTCAGCAATTCAGACAGCTGCAGTTGGAACATAACCTCAGTGGGATTTTTTTGGAAGTTAGTGGGGTAAGATTGTCACTATTACTTTCTAAGATAGGACGTAAGTCCACCTGTTAATTATTGTTAATTTGTAGGAAGAATGAGGGTGAGAAAGCATGAGGCAGACACAGTGAGAGAAGTCCAAAGGTTTGTGGCAATTAATGCTTTGCTCATAAAAGATGGGGAATATTTCAGTGGGTATGTTGTGAGTCTGTTTCAGGGTAGAAATGTGTGCCCAGAAAAGGGACAGCTGTGGAGAGAGCAGCTGTAGATGCAGGTCAGGTAAAAGTGTGCCTTTGTCATTGTTCTGTGCATTAATTGCTGGAAGTGCAGAGCTCAGTGAAGGATGTGCTCAAAGCAGACGTGCTCCACCATCCCATTGTCTGCCACAGCCTCTGGGCCACGTGCAGCTTAACTTTGTAACCTGTGCTCTGCTTTTTGCATTACTTCTCTGGATTAGTTAGAAAACATCCGTTGTGGGAGCCAAGTGGGCCTGCAGGAGCAGCTCAGCTTCTGCTTTCCCCCAGCACAGGGGCCAGCTCTGTTCTCAGGCAGTGTTTGTGGCTGTTCTCAGGCAGTGTTTGTGGCTGTTCTCAGGCTGTTCTCAGGCTGTTCTCAGGCAGTGTTTGTGGCTGTGCACAGCCCTGCTGAGCTGTTTCATGAGCAGCCTTGTCAGCTTGGTCTCCTTTGGCTCTGGGTAGTTTGGGTTATAGGACAGAGCTGGAACAAAACCTGCTGTTATGCTGAGAAACGTGGGTGACCTTTTTCTGGACAAATGTCCCCCAGGTTCTTTTGCTGGGGTCACCTGCAGACCCCCCCTGCCCTCAGTGGCCTCTGGGAGGTTCCTGCTGGGCAGGCGGGAGCACGGAGCTGGGGGTACCTGGGGTGCACCTCCTTTCCTCTGTGGGGCTGCAGGAAAGCTGCAGGAGTGTTGGGAGAGCCCAGAGCAGTCAGATCAGGCAGCAGAGCAGCTGATGGCTGTGCTGGGTGAGTCCCAGGGTTGCCAGGCCACTCCAGCTGCTGCTGCACCTTGGAGGGGTGTGAGGAGCCCTGGGTGCCAGAGCTGCTGCTGCAGCTGCCCTGGCCTCCTCTTGCTGTGACAAACCCAGCAGCCAGGCTTTGTCACACTCCTTGCAAGTGAAATCCTTGTTTTTCTTCAGGGCTGGTAGTTCCTGCGTGCTTCAAAACCAACAAGGCAGCTTGTTGATGCTGAGCTGGATCCTGGTGCTATATATCATTTATGTTTTGATCAAGGAAGAAACAGTTTGTGCAGGAGATGAAAAGGGAGATGACTGCAGGGCCTCTGAATGCTGGCAAGAGGGTGCATCAGAGCAGTTTTTGATGTAGTTTTATATAAGATAAGGGCCCTAAATATGAAAAACAAACTACTACTGCTTGGTCCTTAATATTTCCTGCTTTGAGTACATATAACAAATAAATTGTGAAGTGTATAAAAGTAAGTGCAGTTGCATTTCAGGAGCATTGATTTAGCTTTTAAGGACTTTAGCAAGGGGAATTTACAACCATTTTGACCACTTTTCTGGCTATATTGCAACTGAAGAGCAGATTAGATAACTGAGAAATGGAATTCATATAATGAGAACAGATGAGGTATTTTTATTAGTCCTTTTTACCTTGTGTGCAGGTGTATGGGCAGAAGTTGCTTGGGGCACAAAACTGAGATTTGCTTCTTGATAAGCTTCAGGTAAAAGACTGGAGGAATTGTGCATGCTGCTGCTCCATCTGAGCTGAATTTGAACTTTGCAAAGCCGTGGAGGAGGAGTCTGTGGAGCTGAGCAGTTACCTGGCTGGGACAGGCAGTGCTGGTGGTTTGGCATTCCTGGCTTGTCCTTTGCTTTCCTGGTGGTTGTAGGGATGTGCAGAATGACACTCTGGGTTCTGCATCTCTCCCCTGCTCTTTAAAGGAAGTAATTATGGCACAGGTTTCCTGTATCCATTGTTGTTGCAGGTGCTGAGGATGTTGTGATGGCATTTTCCAGGTCAGAGACAGAAGACAGAAGACAGTAACTGCAGGACACCTGAACAGCACAGAACTGGAGAGGACAGTGAGATTCCTGAAGATAGAGGAGGATGGCTGAGCATTAATAAGTTCCTCTGCCCACCCTAATTGTTCCTTGGTATTCCTTCTCCTTTGTATATTGTTTCCCTTTGCCCAACCCTCAGAATGCATCTCCCAGCCATCTGTTCCTGTCAGATTTTGCAACTCAGCCGGGCTGTGTTCATTCAGGACAAACCTGCAGGTGTGGTTTTGGTTGGCTCAAAGGGACAGGCTGTGGTTGGATAAAGGAAGGCAATTTTTCAAACTTGACCAATGGAAACCTTTTATCTCACGTTTTATTTTATATTTTAAACAAAGTCTCTTGACATCCTACTTCTAAAGAAGCTTTTCATGCTGTGGTGCTTATTTAGGTCAAACTTGTGAATTTGAAGAGGGTTTGATTTGGCTGCATAGAACTGGAAGCAGCTTGTGGTTGGGTGACAATGCAAAAGCTTTCCCTTCAGTTGGCTTGCAGGTATTTTGCTGACTCCAACGTTTTCATTGCAGGAAGCTGATGTTTTGGTGCATTGGTTGTTTCTTTATACTTATTGACTTGGGGGGGAAAAGACAAATGTGCTTTGCAATATTTATTACATCTACACACATATAAACGCTTGCTTTTGGGGGTTGTTTTGGTTTTTTGATTGGCTTTGAAGTCATGGTTTGATTTCCTTTCGGCTGCAGTGTTTCTGATGCAATCAGTTTTTCCATACTCAGCTGCTCTCTGGCCTGGAGCTCTTTTGGGAGCATGTGTCAAAGCAGATTTGCTTCAAGAAGTTCACCTGGCCAGGCTGGAGGCCGGGCCTGCCCAGGCCTGGTGGGCACGGGGTGCCCAGCCCTGGCACTCCTGGCTGCTCCCTCAGAGGAGCTGCAGGTGCTTTGCAGCAATTGCAAGAATGAGATCTAAGGCTGTGACGTGAATTTGCCAAATTTGTATAGAGAATATGTGAACTTGTTTAAAATACTGCAGAGTTCCACTTTAACCCTTTGACTGCTGCACAAGAGTAGCTCTCACATTAGGAACAATTAATGATCATTAACTTAAATCCAGCTTGCACTGGGCTTTAATAAACTGAAGTTTCTAGTCACTTGAATAATTGTACATGGTTTCCCTCCTTGCAGCTGCTTTGTGGTAGGGAAATTCTCTGGATGCTAGGACAGCAGCACGTTCCTGAGGCACTGTTCAGGAGGCAGCAGTGCTGCTTCAGGCTCTCCAGCCTGAGTGTACAGGTGACACTCTCAGGGTCACTCTGCAGCTGCAGGGCCTCCAAACACACACACAGACCTGACAGACTGAGAAACCTGCACTGGAAGTCCCGAGGTGCACTGACTGCTCAGGGTCTGCACACAGGCTCCAGCACTGCTGCCCAAAACCAAGCACTTCATCTCCTCTCACGTGTGCAGGTGGTTTTTACAAAACTTCTGGGTTTTGCTGTGGGTTGCACTGACTTGAGATGTTTCAGAATCTATTAAAGCTGAACTCAATTTACCTGTTCCTGGTTCTTTTCCTATGGTTGTTAATTATTTACAGTGACAATTCTAGAATCTAACTGTGAGAACGTGACCATTTTCATGGCCAGAAATTCTGCTGACAGGATGCTGTTGTGGTCTCAAAATGGGGGAAAAGCTGGAGAGAAACCGTGGACTGTCTGCAAAAGGAAGAATGCACAAGGAAGAAATTATCTGGAGCAAATAAATACTGTGTAATGAGAGCAACTGTACATCTATTTATGAAAATGCTCCTTTTGATTCAGTTGCAGCTTTGTAAAGTTCTATGTGAAAGTAAATCTTTTACCCCTTTTTGTTGGGGCCAGATAAGAAATGTCTTTATTAAAATAAACCAGGAATGAGCCCAAAGGATTCTCTAGATTTTGACTTGGTTGCCTGAGATGCACTTTAATGTGAATTTGGTGCAGAGGGGGACAGTGTGAACTGAGGGGTCCCAGTGCTGACCTTGACCCTCCCTGGCTGTCCAGGGCACTCCTCAGCAGCTGAGGCTTTTCAAGAAGGAAAGTGAACTGTTCATGTGGTTTAATATTTTCACTAAAAATGTAACTGTTGGGGAGGGGGGGAAATACAGTTTTTAATATCTACTCTTGTTTCATATTGATTTATTACTGCTGAGCTGCCAAATGAAAAACACCTGGCTTCACCTTTGAGAAAGACTCAGGACAGCAGCATGGTGGACTTGTTTACTGTTTGTACAAATTTCTGTAGCTTTGCTGGTGTGCTTTTGCCTTCCCAAGTAAACCATTACTAATAAAACCAGGAAATCAAATGTTTTAGAGACCAGAGGTGAGCACAGATCTAATTTGAAATATGTTTGGGACTAGAAAAGGCTTTGTAGTCCAATTATCAGCCATAGAGTGCTTAAGGCATTTAGGGGAGTGTAAAAGCTTTAGAGGCATCTTCCAAGAAAAGCACAGGCTCTTTGGGTGGTCTTTGGGGGAGAAGTGTTCCTTTAGAGATTGAAAATGTGCTGTTGTACTTTCACTGCCAAGCTGCTCATAACACACTGTGTTTTGCAGAGCTTGAGGAGCAGATCCAGAGCTGAATCCCAGCCCTCTCTGCCCAGGTGGGCAGCAGGTGCTGCAGCTGTTGAAGCTCACTGTGTCTGAGCATGGCCCTTTGTAAATGAAAATGGGGCTCCACCTTTCACACAGGCCTCGAGTCTGATTCTCCCAGGTCCTGGAAGAACCCCTGGAGTAACAGAACCTGTGAGCTGGAGGCACAGCCACACTTTGCAGGGAGATGCTGCCTGAAAGAACCTTGGATCACTAATTAAATTTCAAAAGCTGTTGAGATTTTTTTGTTCCTACCTAAGGTAAGCAGTTACTAGAAGTTGTATCCTCCATGGCCTGTGTGAGAGTTTAATGCTTGACCATTAAATCTGTTTCAGTTCCACAAAGTCTATTTTCTAATTCACCAGCAGCCTAATTGGTTTTGTTAAAGGCTGAAGATTTAATGGCCCATGAAGCAGAAAGACCCATCACCTACAGCAGAGACTGTCTAAATGAGACATTGGGATCATATGTGGGATCAGTTCCTGTGGCTGCTGAGAATCCCTTGCAAGAATAGAACAGTGCCATGCCTGAGGTTACCAGTGTTCTGCACTGCAAAAGGGAAAAATAAAGGCTAGAAGTTAAAAGCTTTGAATTAAATGTATAAAATACGTTAGAAATTATTTATGAAATGCACTGGCAGGGAAAGGAATGTGATTTGGAGTCATTTAAGATCAGTCCTTCAGCTTTCTTTTTGGTCTCTTGCCTCCTCAAGAGCTGGCAGAGCTGACAGCAAAAAGGGCTGCAGGGCACTGGCACCAGCAGAAAGCAAGAGTGCAGGAAGAAGTTTCTGGAAGTTTAAGGAATCCTGAGGTCTGTCCAGTCTGCACAAAAGGAAGTCCCTAGTGAGTAGCATCTTCTCCTCACTCTTACCATCAGAAACAAAGTGTACCAAAGCTCGGAGGCTAAAAAAGGGCATTTAGGAAGCTCCATTGAAGCTGCAGAGCAGTTATGAGTTAGAGTTTTACAAATATCAGTGCTGGATAGCAGGGAGGAGCATTGCTGTTGCTTACCAGGGCAGGAGCTTGGGTCTGTTTGCTGCCAGACTGAGGTAGGTTCCCTTGCAAAGACAGAAATCATCTCCTGCCTCCTGAGCTCTGCTTTCATTTGCTCTGCAGCTGATTTGCCCTAAGCAGGATTCCTGCTGTATGTTGTAAACAAGCTGGCTGCTTTCCTTTGTAGCCTGAAGAGCTTCAATTTGGGAATTGTTTATTTTGGAAAAGAGAAAAAAAAAATGGAAGCTTTATAACCTGGCCTGCTCACAGGCTGCCTCGTGTGTCAGCATGAAATGGTTCTGTGCACAGAGCTTTTTGCTGCCTTCACGTTTCCCAGGTTGGCCCTCCTGGTACCAAATGGTGCTCTAGAGGCGTGTGAAACTCAGAAAATACACTTTCCCTTGTTTTACAATTGTAATAGAGACTCCAACCCAGATGTGGACTGATGCCTGTGTACTTGAGTTTTTCACCATCTCCAGTTCCTGCTGCTCTCTGCTGATGCAGCTACAAGTGCAGCAATCCCCACAGGGCAGGAGAGGATCTTGGGCCATGGAATGGAGAGCAGGGAGTTGCTCAAGGAGGGACACAGGAGCTCTGCTGCTGCTGGCTGGGCTCTGTAATCCGTGTCCAGCTTTGCCTGTGACCTCAACGGCCCTGCCAGTGATGGGGATGGGCAGTGGGAGCTGGGTGTGCCTTCAGCCCTTTGTGCTGAGCCCGAGAGCCCGAGCAGCCAGACACTGTGAGCCTGCTGCTGTGTGCAGCTGGGCCTGGGCTGCCCTGCCTGCACTGCTGCTGCCATTCCTGCAGTGCTGCTGCCCTGCTGGGAGTGCTCATTCCTGCAGTGCTGCTGCCATTCCTGCAGTGCTGCTGCCATTCCTGCAGTGCTGCTGCCATTCCTGCACTGCTGCTGCCATTCCTGCAGTGCTGCTGCCGTGCCTGCAGTGCTGCTGCCCTGCTGGGAGTGCTCATTCCTGCACTGCTGCTGCCATTCCTGCAGTGCTGCTGCCATTCCTGCAGTGCTGCTGCCCTGCCTGCAGCGCTGCTGCCCTGCCTGCAGTCAGTGGGTGCTGCTGCCTGAGCACAGGGAGGCAGGGCCCTGCCTCCTGCCAGAACAGCTCACAGCGTGGTCTGTGCTCGGTGGGGATTTTTTATGGCTTGATTCTGCAGAATCTCTGGGGTGTGTGGGGAGGGAAGTAGGGGCAGGTCAGGAAGGGATGAGTTTCTGTAGGTGGAAGCACAGGAGGAGAATTCTGCCTCGCTGTTGTGTTCTCATAAGCTTCTTTGAGCCTGCAGAAAGATGATAATTAAGCTAGACAGAATCTTAAGCTTTTGCCTTGCCGTGCCAGCAGCACTTCAGAGTCTCCTCTAAAAGGAGCTGTGCCTTGTGCTGGTTCTGTGCATGCTTAGCTGCTCTCACACCATATGGGTGCACAGCAGTGCCTTTGTTTTAGTCTGACCTTGACCTTGAGGTCACAGGCTTCTGAAACTCTATGGGACATGTGGACTTAGCCTGGCTGTTGTAGCTACATCATCACTTCTACCTGATTTTTTCTACTCTCTAAATGTAGCAAAGTCTAGATGTCAGAGGCTTGGAGCAGTGCACAGAATTAAATTAAATCTTTTCACCTTCAGTGCCATTGTCAAAAGGAGGAAGGGAGACTTGGATAACTGAGAAGTGTTTAGATAAACTGCATCGCAGTAACAGTGAGGGGTTTGCAGAGACCAGAACCAGCAGAGTCAGACTGTACCTGCTCTAGTAAGTAGTACACCAGCCTGTGCAAAGATTGCCAGCTCATATCCTTCTGCAGAGAAGGTCCTTGGGGGTTTAAATAGAGAATTTGTCAGGAACAGCACCTTGACTTAAGTACTGGTGAGATGGATCACAGAGAACGAGATCTTTGGCATACTCAGATCCTGTGCTCTGTCACCTGCGTAGAAAGAAGAGGTTGTGTGTGTTGTTATTTTAGTCTCCTGTCTTGACAAGAGTGCAGAGTTGGTTTCTGCCTGGACCTGAATAAATCTTTGTGAAGGTTGTTAGCACCATTCTTGCTCAGAGCTACTAAAAAGAGAGAGGAAGCAGTAAGGGAAGAAAGAGAGAGATTAAAGGGGAAAACCCAGTAGGTTATAAATGCATTTTCCTCTGTGCTGGAGGTTAAATAATATTTTATGTGTGTGACAGATACTGTGATTAAGGAGCTGTTAGGCAGAATGAGAGCTGGGCAGCAAAGGGAGCAGAGATGCTTGAGGGAAAAGGGTACTAAGATGTTCTAGTGCTGAATTCTCTTGTGCATGTCTACTGTGTGATATGTGGCTTTGTGTGCCTTTCAGTGGAGGAAAAAAAAAGGATCTTCTACAGACATTTAGGGTGTTTTTCCCTTTCATTGCTTTAGCATCTTTTCTGTCTGAGATGTGTCACTGGTTACTAGTGACATTGCTTTAGAAAATGGCCAGAGGCTTTAATCTCTGCTGCTACTTCAAGGTCTAGGATTAGGCCCCACAGAATGGCATATGATAATCTTGTACATAAATCATGGCTTTAACAAATGGAAGAGGTTTATCCTGTTTACTCTGCTGCAGACAGACTCGCCCCTCTGCATCTTGCTCAGTTTGAGGGCTCCTCAGTCACTGCAGAGCCTCTGGAGTTCCAGCTGTCATCCTATACCCCTCATTCAATTCAGAGAAGCCTGGGCACTCCGACTGGGTTTTAGATCAGGTCAATAAATACCTGACCTATGCTGGGCTGTATTTTAATGCATTTTCATGTTCCACAGGCGCCTGTCATTCCCAGAGGCTCTTCCTCACGCCGCACGGAGCTGCCTGTGTAAGCTGGGCTTCAGACAGGATGATATGCCTGTCTCATCTCATAAGCTTTTTACTTCCACTCAATGGACAATGTCTCATTGAAGCAGCAGCAAACAGGGAGCAGTGTGTGCTCTTAGCATGCACTACAAAGCTCTGTACTTCACTCATTTAACACAACATGGGATTTGAAGCTCCCCCCGCTTCCTTTTGCAGAAGACAGTGTGTCATTCCTCTTCTTCAGCTGTGTCATTCCACTTCTCAGCTGATCCACTTCTCACTGACAGCATGGATAGAGCAGAAGGAGAAAAAGTAAAGAGTCTCAGTTCGGAGGCTCTTTGTCCAGATGGAAAATAAGAGAAAGCCTGGCATGTTGAAAGGTCCAGGTGAAGTGGAAACTCATGGCTGTTGAATGTTTGTGTGAGCAGTGGGATGGTCCTCGAGATCCTGTGGTGTCCAGCAGAAGTAGATCCCATGAAAGAGGTGGGCATATAATTTTCCAAAAACTGGAAATATGTTACCTTCCCTCACTGAGCAGAGGAAACCATGGAGTTAACAATCTGATGGGTACATTAAAGCAGCACACAGTTGTGACAGGGCAATTATTCTAAATCCCTCCGATTCATTTGCATATATTAGATTGGTTGGGGAGGGACCTGCTGGGTACCGAGGTTTGTTCTGCCTGCTATGTGAGCCTTAACTCAGTGGATGTTTGTTTCCTGCTTCCTTAAGACAAAACAGCTCTTTGCTGGCTCCCTTTTAGGATTAATGCGTTCCTAACACCTCTTGAAAAGCCACAAAGAGAATTCTGCTGTTTCCTGCAGGTGGTGGGTCGGTGGCTGAGGCAGGGATGGCAGCAGCCCTTTCTGTACGCCCCCAGGGCGGTGTTCCACGGCTCCAGCACAGCCTCCCAGCCGGCTGGGGTCCCTGGCAGCGCTCAGCCCCGTGCCCCCTGCCCGCCTCTGCCCGAGCAGCCCCGCGGGCCCGGCTCCGCTCCCGGATCGCACGGCTGCTGCCCCAACGCCATCAGCAGAGCTGCAATTAGAGAGCTGCAATTAGAGAGGAGGCAGCAGGGCAGCGGCTTACTGCACAAGGGTCAGCATGGAATCTGTCAGAACGGAAATAAATACGGGACATGACAAAGGATTTAGCTGCACTGTGTCTGAGGAGGCTGGAACTCAAATAGCCAGGGCACTGCCAGGAAGGAGCTGGGAGCACTGGGGTTTAGACAGAGGGGGGGAAAGAGGGAAAAAGAAAACCAAAACTGGGTTTTCCTCCTGACCTGATAATTTCAAAAGGGGCTTCTAAAAACTTTCTGAGAGGTAGGTCATGTAGGTAAACCATTGCCTCAGGGGGATCTGGGAGAGTTATCCAAGTTATCCACAGTGCAGATCCTGGGAAGTGACTCACTGACACCAACCAGCGTAGTGGGGTTTGTGCAGAGGGAGTTCTGGGGACTGTGGCTGCAGCCTCGGTGAAACGTGGTGGAATGTGGTGGAATGTGGTGGAATGTGGTGGAATGTGTAGCAGAGAGCAGGAAGTGAGGAGTGCCCGTGCAGGGAGGAGCAGGGCCCTGCTGGCCCTGCTGCCTCGGGCTGACTGGCATGCTGCATACACAGCTAGAGGATGGTGATTGGGTTCATTTTGGACTCACTCAGGCTGCAGCCCAACAGGACAGCATCTGCTTTTCTGTTTGCTGAAGAACATTGCTGGAACTTCTCCGTATATGCTCATTAGGAAACCCATTGCTTGATTTTATTAATATGTGATGATTTGGCCCCTTTTACCTACAGAAAATTACTTTTCAGAATAAAATGCGAGAATATTGGCTATGAAAGGGGAAAATAAAGAGTGTAATTGTGTTAATTATCAGAATACCAGACATGTAATTAATATGCCACAGGAATAAAGAGCAAATGTACTAATAGCATATAATTGGACTTAAACTACACCCTTGGTAGAAGTCTCTGCAATGGAACTGTTGTGTTTGTGCTTCTTTTCAAATTAGCAATAAGGAATAAATTAACATCCATTTTCTTGCCCGTACAAAGGCAGAATCATATTGTGGGGCCGGGTAATGAATTCAGAGAATGCCTTTACATTCCCATATGGCTCTTGGGGAGGGGAATACTCATGCACATGGCTCTTCTCCCTTGCAGGGGAAGGCAGAGAGGAAAACCTCATTGTGTGACCAGATGTTTGCAGAATAGCATGAGCCTAACAAACACAAAACATCTGTAAGCTGAGAAATGAAACACTGTCTCCAGTACCTGGTGCAAATGTAGAGCTGGTTTGTCCACCCACCCTTTCACACCGGGTGTGTTCCTGGACGGAGTTGTCAGACAAAGAAATGGGGCAGGGGCAAGACACTGAGGGACACAGAGGGACATCTTTGACAGAACTGGGAAAAAACCATAGTTCTTCACTCAGCAAATACATCAATAAAGCCTAATATTATTGAGGTCCTTAACAAGTGTTGCTTTTCAGGTAAAGAGTTGAAAGTCAGTCTGTTCAAGGTATTTCAAGGTATTTGCAGTATATCTTGACTCAAGGTATTTCAAGCTATTGCAGCACTTGTTAATTTTCCCTCCCTTCTTTGTTCCCTTCTTTCCTAAATATGTAAATGGAAAGCCTAGAAATTCTGTCTTATTCAATTGTAATGCACCTGTCACCACAGTATGCAGACACCTGCCTTTTGCTTCACAGAAGTATTGTGAGAGTGCATTAATTAACGCTTGTAAATGCTCGAGGTCCTGGGCTGGAAGGTGCTAATGAGTTGTAAAATATTATAATGATGATGCAGAATATTCAGTCTCTCTTTGTAAGGAAGGACTTGCATCTCCCCTTCATGGCTTTCATGTTTCTGGATGCATGTTTTGCTACAGAAGGTAAGTCTGAGCAGGAAGAATTGAACAAGGTAGAAAGATTGCTAATGCTGCTGGTTTTCTTGGGAGGGAGCTGGTTGGTTTCATGTACTTCTTTGCTTATTGAATTTTCTTTTTGTCTCTCTGATGAACCCCTACTTCAATGGCTTGTTGAGAATTCTCTGAATGTTCAGAAATGTCAGGGGAGAAGATTTTCTTCTTCAGATTGCCAAGGCCTTCATTTGCATCCCCTAAATCAATTCTCATACATGATCAAAGCAGTTCTGGAAATTTTCAAGTGTGGGGAAAACCAGTCCTGTAATTTTTTTTGTCCTCTAAAATACACAGTCAGGTTCCAAAGCATTAAATAATAATAATAATAAAGTCTTAATCTACTGAATCTAAAAACACTCTAGTTTTAAGCCTGTGTTCAGAGTGTGTGTATTGGGGACAGCAAGCCTAGGAATTATCTGACAGGTCACCTATGTGTGTTTTGTCTCCAGCTGGCAGGGGCATTGCTCTGGCATTGTGCTGTGCAGTTTTCTTTTGAATGATCTAAAAGATGCCACTACTGCCTGTTGCCTTTTGAGAGTATTCTGGGGTTTCATAGACCTTGTTGTGCAGAATGAATCCTTTATATTCACCCTGAATTATCTTTTGCTTAGTCTCATAATTGTTTGTTCTTGAGCCATGTCAGAACCAGAAAACACCAAAATTCAAATTCCCCAAATATTTCAGGATTGTCCTCTTTCCTTTTCCAGTGGGGATGAGAGCAGCTAGAGTGCTGCTGTTACAGCTTCTCAGAAGCTGCTCTCTTGTTGCCCTCATCTAATATTTAGCTTGGGTGTGCATGCAGCTCTCTCATGAGCTTAATTACTGCACAGTCTCTGTGGCAATTGGTCCCTCCTCAGAAGTGGTTTCAGGGCAGCTGTGATAAACTGGTGGAGGAGATAAAGCTGGGTTTAACTTCCCATTAAAAGAAATCATCATCTGCAAACACACTACTATGCAGACATTAACTGCACGGAGATGAAAAACAAGCCCACACTTGGTACCAGTCTCTTTATTTGAAGATAACCATTTTCTCAATGCAGTTCTAGACTATTTGAAGTTTGGGCCCTTTCTCTTTTGTCCCACTTCAAACAAGAGTCATGTCTAATAATTTGCATGCATTCAAAATCGTGGATGATCCTGAGCTCTAGCAGGCAGCTCCAGGTTTGATGTTGATGCAGCCGAGCGTGTCCTGCTGCTCCCTGTATTCAGCGTGCACTGCCTGCCTTCCAGGAGCAGGCAAATGCATTCATTTTCCCCTATCACCCCATCCTTCCTGCTCTGGCTGCTCAGCTCCACTCTGACAAGCACAATAAATGTGTCCTCCTGGGTCCTTGCAAGCCAGGCATTAGTCACACTGTGCATTTCAAGGACATCAGGCCGATAGGTTTTCAGCTAAAACAGAAAACACGTTCTGCCAGGAGCCATTTGTTCCAGTTTTGTTGCTTACCAATAAAATAAAGATCAATGGTTTTTTGGAACCGGAGAAGCGGGTCAGAGAGAAGGAGGGAGATAAGTGGTAAAATGAAGTTGCTGAAGTTAGTTCCCTGAATTTCTCTGGAATAATGGCATGTGGCATTTGGGATAGAGTGAGGATCTGTCAGCGTGGGAAATGCAGTTTGCTCTGGCAGACAGGAGGAACAGGACAGCTCTTGCCTAACAGCAAGCAGCACTGGTGCACAGCAGGTCCCACTCTGGGTGACTGAAATCAAATTGAGTTTTGTGACACAAAATGAGAAGATGTTGTATTTGCTGCACTTCCAGAGTAAGTGCCAGTGGAACATCCGTGGTGACAGGGATCAGGATTTCACGTGGCTGCCTCACCTCGTGTGCAGGGCCCATCCCGTCTGTACCAACCTCTCAACTGCCTGTTCAAACCTCTGTCAGCAAGGAAACAAAGCCATGGAACTGATCCTAAAATACAGCCTAAAGAATTGTTTGCTTTACTGAGTCAGTGCCTTAGTCACAACTGACTCGGAGGAGTTTTGCTTAGAAAGTGAAATGCCATCAATGCCTTCTCCTTCCTTGGAAATTTCCCAGCTTCAGCATGACTGATTCAGCTGATTAATTCATCTGAGCTGGTAGTGTTACTGTGTAATAAATAAGGTTTACCCAGACATAGCATTTCTTCTCTTAAAAGTGTCTCTAATTCTGCAGAATCAGAACAATTTAAACGAGTCCTGATGGTAACACTCAAGTCCCCTTCTCGCTGTGGTCCATGGTGCTCTGCTTTCTCCTGTTAAAATGCATGGTACAGCCCAAGTGAAATGCAGAGCTCTTTTAAAGTGTTTTTGCCACACCTAATGATAATTTATTTTGCAAAAAATGTTTTAATAGAGGATGTGTATGTGAATGCTGACTGGCCAGATATTCAGCCCTCTTCAGATGCCTTTATATTGACATTAAAGCTCTGTCCATAGTTAGGTTCCCAATCAAAATCCAGTATTTGGGTGAGTCCTGGGTATGTGTTACACCGTGTACTCATCAATGGGCAATCATCTTTCAACTGATGAGATCCTGCCGAGCAAATCTTTACTAATGGGGTGGTTCTTACTCAGACAGCACGTTAGTAAGCCTAGTTGGAGAGCCACACTGTGCTGGACAGTCCTACTCTCCACACAAAAGCAAAACACGTCATGCAGCACCCTGTCAGCTGAAGCTGCGTTGGCAGAATGTAAAGACTCAGCTCTCTGGCAACAGATGGGCTCCAGGCTTCTTCTGACATGATCTGCCATCCAGCATATGTTAGCCAGGCTGAGAAATCAAGGAGGTTTAGACTGAGGCTTTAGCTTTGTTTAAAAAAGGAAAGATGTCTTAGCTCTTGATGGAGCAGCTGCCCTACAGTCCACGGAATAAAAGCGGAGTACCTTGGCTAAGGGAGAGCTCCAGAGCACAGGATGGCACTGGGGACGTTCAGCCTTGGCCTCGGGCTCTGCAGGGTCCTGCTCTGCTCTGCAGGGTGAACAGCGAGTGCCAGTGGTTGCTTTGGAGCGTGGAAGAGGGAGAGCATTTTTCCTTTGGACACCCAAATGCACAGGCTGGGACAGAGCAGATTCTGTCGCTGGTGAGACCCGAGGGGCTGCTCCAGGGCAGTGAATACGTTGGGTTCTCACCTCTGGTTTCTGCCCCATCTCGAGTGTGGGGTGACCAGGAGGTGAGCCCTGGGCTCGCCTCGGGAGGGAGGAGGAGGCTTTTCCAGCACAGGGCAATCTTGGTATTTAAATTGCACAGAAAATAAGGAAATACCACATTTCTAGGATCCTGAACATTCTGGACTTTATTTTTATTTCACTGTGGGAGTGAAATGGCTAATAGGTACAAAGCATGAGTAGTCAGATCTAATTATAACATAAGTTGGTTGTAATTTAATTGTCAAAACTGAGATCGTGGTATTGATTATTTTTTCCTTTGTTGAAATATTTTCTCATTGAAATTTTGGATAGTAGAGCAAAGAACTTTTCTATTATAGGACAAGTTCTGTGCAACTTAATGAAAATTCTTGATTTAGATAGCACTTGGAAAATTTTCCAAACAGAAGTAATCTTTTGCTTTGATAGAAGTCACTACACTAAAAGGGTTTGTTACTCCACAGGACAGACTCAGAGATGCACCAGGGTGTGTTTGTGTTTGGACACATTCTTGCAGGATTGCACTTCTCGGGCTGGCAGAACGGCGCGACAGGGGTGCTGGGTTAAAGGTCAGGTTTGATGATATTAAAGGTGTTTTCCAACCTAAATGATGCTGTGATGGTTAGTACCGGATGCTTGCAGCACCAGGTGCTGCAGTTTGTTCCATCCCAGCTTCTGACTGGGTTTGTGTGTCCCAATCCCAGTGCAGCCCTGTACCTGCCTGCCGCTGGCATCAGCTTTGGATTGGTGCACAAGCATTCAAATAGCTTTATATGGGGTTAATTATTTCTTAAATATCTTCATACGGGGTTTAACTCTTTCTAACGACTTGGGGGCTTAATCAGCATTTATTAAATCAGCTGTGTGAGGCTTTGGAGGGGCAGCAGGTTCCCTCAGCTGCGTGACGCGTTGGGGAGGCCGCGCTGCTCCCTGCCCGCAGCCCGGGTCAGCCCGCGGGAAGAAACCGAGTGCAGCCAGAGCGCCCGAAGCAGGGGATGCACTCCGGGCCCGGCGGGCGGGAGGTGCCCGTGAGGGAGCGCCATGGCACCGGTGCCCGTGAGGGAGCGGCGGTACCCGTGAAGGAGCAGGATGGCGATGCCCGTGAGGGAGCGGGGGTGCCCGTGAAGGAGCAGGATAGCGATGCCCGTGAGGAGCACCATGGCACTGGTGCCCGTGAGGGAGCGCCATGGCACCGGTGCCCGTGAAGGAGCAGGATGGCAATGCCCGTGAGGCAGCACCATGGCAGCGGTGCCCGTGCCCATTAGGGAGCACGATGGCGAAGCCCATGAGGGAGCTGCTGTGCCCGTGAGGAGCACCATGGCACCGGTGCCCATGAGAGAGCAGGGGTACCCGTGCCCGTGAGGGAGCACCGTAGCGCCGGTGCCCGTGAGGGAGCGGGAGGTGCCCGTGCCAGTGAAGGAGCAGGATGGCAATGCCCGTGAGGCAGCACCATGGCGGCGGTGCCCGTGCCCATGAAGGAGCACGATGGCGAAGCCCGTGAGGGAGCTGCTGTGCCCGTGAGGAGCACCATGGTATCGGTGCCCATGAGAGAGCAGGGGTACCCGTGCCCGTGAGGGAGCACCGTAGCGCCGGTGCCCGTGAGGGAGCACGATGGCGATGCCCGTGAGGGAGCACTATGGCGCTGGTGCCCGTGAAGGAGCAGGATGGCGATGCCCGTGAGGGAGCGGGGGGTGCCCGTGCCAGTGAAGGAGCACGATGGCGATGCCCGTGAGAGAGCACCATAGCGCCGGTGCCCGTGAGGGAGCACGATGGCGATGCCCGTGAGGGAGCGGGAGGTGCCCGTGCCAGTGAAGGAGCACGATGGCGATGCCCGTGAGAGAGCACCATGGCGCCGGTGCCTGTGAAGGAGCAGGATGGCGATGCCCGTGAGGGAGCGGGGGTGCCCATGAGGGAGCACCATGGCGGCGGTGCCCGTGCCCGTGAGGGAGCAGGATGGCGATGCCCGTGAGGGAGCACCATGGCGGCGGTGCCGCAGTGCCCTCAGCGCCGGGGGCGGGGCGCGCCGCAGCCCGCAGGGGTCCGCAATGGGCTCTCCCGACGCCCCCCGCCCCGCGCCGTTGGTTCGCTCCCTCCCCCGCCTGGTGCCCGGCGCGGGCCCGGCCGCCATTTTAGGAGCCGCCGGCGGGGTGGGCGGGGGAGGGAGGGGAGGGACGGCGAGGGCGCGCGGGGGAGGCTGCGCGGCGCCTTGGCGACGGCCGCGGTGCTGGTCG